GCTCCCTGGTCGGGATGGGACTCGCTGAAGCAGCTGTGGCTAGCTTCACGGTGCTGCACTTCAACCCGATGTCCCACTAGGGAGGGCCCTCAGTTTCAAGTCTTGGTTCTCCACCTCCCTCTCACTCTCATCCATCTCAGTACTTTAGCAAGAATGGGTGTCCACTGGCTCATAAACTGCAGCCATATCCCCTGGATGTTTGCTAAAACTCAGAAACCTGTTTCTAACCCGAGACTCTGATTCAGTAGGTCAGGACTGGGACCCAGCTATTTGCCCTTCCTGCAAGTACCCAGGTGTATGACGTATCTGCCAGGGCTGCCATAACCAAGCGCCACGGGCCAGCTCAATCAACAGCAATTTATTACCTCACTATTCTAGAGCCCTCATGTTGACTAATTACATCTATGATGACCCTATTTCCAAAAGAAGTCCTATCTTGAGGTACTGGGGTTTGGGACTTCAACATAAGAATTTTGGTAGGTTCAACTGAACTTAAAACACCCACACCAGCTAACTGACGCTGCTTCAAAACATGAATCTGGTTATATTATTCTCCTTTAAAACCTGTCCCTCCCTCTCTCTCTTTTTTTTTAAATTGAGCTAACATTGGTTTACAATGATGCATATGATTTAGGGAAACAGGTGTATACTTTCTCAGCACCCACAAGCTTTTCAGTGGCTCCCCATTGCCATCAACATGGGTGGCGCTTGCCATTTATACACTGGCCTTTTCACTTCTTCAGCTCACAGTACTTGCGCCTCTCTGCCTAGAATTTCCTCCCACCCGTCTTCTCTGACTGCCTAATGCTCTGTCCATGGATCACTGGACATTCTGTCACTAGTGTTCATGGAACATAACAAACTCCAAGGGCCTCACACAGGGTTTGACAGTGTTCCACGCATTTTTGTTGAGTGAATGTATGAAGACTTTTTTTTCGTGGCTCTTTTTTTAAGTTTAATTTTATTGTTTTACTTCAAGAGTAGTTTGAATTTGGAGTGTCAGTTATAAAACAAAGTCAGACTTTTTGAACAGGTGCAGCTATAATCTTGTCTATCTGGTTTTCTTTCTGCCCCCTGCTGGTGGCCTTCGGCCTTGCGTAGGATAAAAAAACCGATGGGTCGAGCAAGGTACAGTATTTCCGGAAGCAGGAGCGGAGGGGCGGGGTGTTGGTGACACTTCATTTACATACCCACGATGCATTGCACACAGGATTTTTTTTTTTCCCCTCCCTACTTTAAAATAGCTAATTTTTCTATTTATTTTGACCTTTTTATAATAAAACACATGAAATTTCATAGAATTTTCTGAGATGAAGTTAGAAGTCACTTTTTTTGTTTTTGTAAATAATTACCATCGCTGTGCTAGGAGCTACAGTTACCCGAGCACTCAGGGAGCAAGTCACACAGCATACTCTGGTTTCTCTTCAGATCGTATAAATCTTTCGCCTTTTACTAAAGATTTCCGTGGAGAGGAACAATTCTGAGTTTTTACCCAATTTTTTGAGGTCTTGCGTTTGCAAGACTCATATTGCAGTACAAAAAAAGAACGTGGTTCACATTCTATTTTAGGTCCTTTATGTTTTGTTTACAATGTGGTGTAATAGAGAAGTAGGGTTTTAACTGGTTGTGTGTGGTGGTGGTTCTGGGGTTTTATTACACTTTGCGTTGTGGTTTGGGGGTTTGTAGAACTAGGGTAAGGTTTCTTGTTTTGCAGCTTTTCGTATTTTTTTCCTATTTGTTCTCACGTCTTAAGTCTCTATTTCTGCTTCTCACCTCGTTTTCGCTGCACAATTAATGCGCACATTTAAAGCGGTGGTGACGTCGCCCCAGAAGGAAAGGAAGGGGCCCATGTGCCTTGTCAACCACAGTTACAACGTATTTTTTGAAGATTTATTTATGCATACAGAGGTGTGGTACAGGCCAGATGTACAGGGAAGGTGAGAGTACTCAGCAGAGACAGAGTGGGGAGCACAACAGGCAGAATGACTGCTACACTGCTGAGGGGAGCAGAAGGCGAGACTGCCCTGTGGGTCGCCTCCCAGGCTGGGGATGCAACACTCACTGAAGCAACTGTGGAGGGAGGGCAAAGTGATAAGAGATTTAACTACATGGACAGGAGACCACTTAGCATTGAACTGCTGCTTATTGCTAACCTACCAGGTTTACCTGTTTTTAGCGCCTTGAATAAGACTGTCAAGTTCAGACTTGCACAGATCTGTTCAGTTTTCAAAGGACAGGAAGAGAGGCACCCCCAAACCCCCAAACCTGCTTGTTCTAAATAAATTTTGCCATCGCAGCAACAAGACAAAAGATGTTAAGACCTTTCATGGAAAGGAACTTTAATTAGTGTGCAATACAGAAAAGACAAAGAATATAGTTTTCAAATCAAGCACCTAAAGCTACCCACGCCCTCATGAGTAACAGTCCAACTGCTGACTGAAAGCAAGGCCCGAAAGGACCCATAGAAGAGGGTCCAAAACAGCCAGACAAATCTAGAAGGAAGAGAGCAAAATCAAAATCAAGATATACGCGGCCATAGGTAACCTCCCCACCCGCCTCTCACCCATGTCTGTTTCAACTAGTCCAGACTCCTCTCTGCTCCAGGTGCCTCCTCCAGCCCCCCTGGCTCTCCATCCTGTCCCCCTGCAACCCCAGTCTCCTCTCAGCTTCTTCTCCTCCTGGCTCAGCTTCAACCTCTTTTGGGTGGAGCAAGGAACCTGGAACCTCCCCTTTCCCGGGGAACTCACTGTTTCTGTTCCAAGGTGAGCAGTTCCTCAGCAAGATCTAGCTCTCCAGACTGGGGCTCTGGGTTCAAGACACACCTTTGCTTTTTAAAAAACTTTAAAAAGTTTGAAGTATAATCGGTTGTTTCTTGTTTATTTATACATTTTCCTGGTGAAGTAAATTAGCCTTAAAACTAGAACTGGGGCCCTCCCTGGTGGCGCAGCAGGTTAAAGCACAACACTAAGAAGCTAAAGCCACTTCCGCATGAGTTCGATTCCCGCCTGCCCTAGAGGTGACCACATGGCACAGCAGACCTCTCCTGACCCGTCCGCTGCTCCCCTCAGCAGTGTACTTCGTCGATCTGCCTGTTCTGCTCTCCACTCTGTCTCTGGTGAAGCCTCTCACCCTCCGCATCTCTAGCCTGTACCCCAGTTCTGTATGAATAAATAAATAAATCTTTAAAAAAAAAACTAGAACTGGATAATTTGTTTCTGAAAATAGGAAATTCTCATGTTTAATTTTTGTGGACTGAGACAGCAAGCAATTGTGACATGATGACCAAATAAAAATATACATTCATTAACCGAAAACAGTACATGTGGGGGACAATTGTGGACATTTTAAGATACACTTTGTTTTAGATATTACTGAATCAATGATTTTTAAAAAAAGACTTATTTTTATTTATTTATGCATTCAAGAACTGGGGTACAGGCCAGAGGTGTGGGGTGACAGGATTCACCAGAGACAGAGTGGGGAGCGGAACAGGTGAATTTACTGAAATACACTGCTGAGGGGAGCAGCAGGTGGGCCAAGAGAGGTCTGCTGTGTCATGTGGGTCATCCCCCTGGTCAGGGATTCAACTCGTGCTGCAGCGGCTGCAGATAACTTCATAGTGCTGCACTTTAACTTGTGGCGCCACTAGGGAGGGCCCCCAATTATTAAAAATTTTTTAAGGTCTGGGGTACTATATTTTACTGTCAGTCTACAAAAGAAAGAACATTTTAAGACTAAAAACATTAACACTGACTTGATCCCAAAGAAAAGGATACTACTTTAAAAGAGAAAGTCTATTTAGCGTTATCAAAAACATATTTTCTCAACTTTTCTTTCCTCTTCACCCAACTAGAGAACAGGCTCAGTTTAGTGGAAGGTTAAGCAGCCCTAGAGCAATAATACCAGGGTCGTGGTGCCCTCTTGTGGCAGTCTTCAGAATTACCATCTTCTGATTTCATTTCTTCTGACGTGGAGGAACAATTCCTTCACCACACCTCATTCATTCGTGCATACCAGGCATTGTTCTCAGTATTTGGATATAGCAGTAAAGAAAACAAATATCCATGTCCTAATAGGGCTTACATTCAGATGGAGAGACAAACAATACATAATGTACTAAGTGCTATGGAAAAAAATAGCGTGAAGGGGGTCAGATAGTTCAGGCACTGATAGTGTGGGTTGCAACTTGAGAAACAGCAGTCTCACTGAGAAGGTGACTTTTGTGTGGAAAGAGTGGGAAGGAGGTGAGGAGTCAGTCATGAAGACAGATATTGGGGCCGAGAGGTGCTAGAACCTCTCTCACTGTTGAGAAGTCAGCACAAAACCACTAACTCAAGCACTGCCAATTTCAAGAAACACATTGTGTCAGTAGTTGAGTAAAGGAGAGAAAGAGTAGAAGACCTCCTTGCCAGATTTTGAGCAGAGTGATAAGATCGGAAGTTTTAAAGGACCACTCTAGTTGCTGTATTGAAAAGAGAACGGGCAGGAAACAGAGGCGTCGGGAGGAGCAGGGCGGGGGCTCAGCCCTGGGTGTGAGCAGGGGGTGGAAGGCAGGGCTGACAGACACAGGTAGTGAGCGGACACAGGTGTCAGCGAGGTTTCGGGGAGAGCGCTGCTGTTCTGTTCCGAGTGGCAAGAAGGATGAGTGGCATCAGTAGATGACACAGGTTCAGTCACGCTCAGTTTTGGAGACAAGGAAGGGAAATGTTTAGTAGAACATGGAAATATGGGAGTCGTTGGCAGATAGTGATATTTAAAGCACTGACACTGCATGGGTGTAAAAGTAGAGAAGCAGTTCCCTGTCAGCCTCTCTTTAACTTCCTTTTTTAAAAGATTTAATTTTATTTATTTATGCATAAAGAACTGGGGTGCAGGCCAGAGGTGTGAGAGGCTTCACCAGAGACTGAGTGGGAGCAGAACAGGCAGATCGACGAAGTACACTGCTGAGGGGAGCAGCGGGCGGGTCAGGAGAGGTCTGCCATGCCATGTGGGTCAGCTCCTGGGCCAGGGATTGAATTCAGGCCACAGTGGCTGGTAACAGCGTGATCGTGCTGACTCAACCACCAGGGAAGCCAGTCGCTCTCTAACTTGAAATAACCTGGGCTAAAGAGGTGGACTCAGCAAAAGAATATGAGAGGAAGCAAATCAGAGAGGTAGGAGAAAAACCAGGTGGGCGTGGTGCCCTAGGAGAGAACAGAGGCCAGCAGGGGCCCCTCTAACCTTCCAGCACCTTCATGACCCTTCCCTCTGGACCCTTCGTCTGGCACCCCTCCAGTCCATCCTCATCGCCCTCATCTGCTCTTTCTCCCCAGTGGGCACACAGCAGAGACAGTGGGCAATACTGTTTATTCAAGGCTTCTCAGGCGCAGCTCTGCCTCCCCAGCGGCAAGCTTATCCCCACCCCCAATGCCCACGGAGCCCCCTGGGACTTGAGCCCAGGCTCCTTCCTGGCCACAAAGCCTGGCCTCCTGGCCTGCCTCAGAGGTCGTTACTCATTGGTTTGCAGGTTCTCCTCCTGGAAGCTCTGTATGTAGGTCAGCTGATTCTGATCCCCAGGACCGAGGTAAAACCTCTTGTTTTGGGAGAGGTTGCTGAGGTGTAAAGCTGGAGGCAGCAGAGGCAAGTCAGAGTCTGGGTGCTCCCCAGGCCCTCTGCCCCGGCACCCCCCACCATGCCCCCACTCACCCTTGGGGACATTGACTTTGTTGGCCGCCAAGATGTCCGCCTGAATGCTATCCATTTTCGAGTACAAGTTCTCGGCATTGCTCTGGGAACAGGACCAAGGGAAGCACGGAGGAGCCAGGGTGGTCAGCAGTCGGGGATGGACTGGGCAGCGGCAGGGCAGGGTGCGCCGGGTGCCAGGGGGCCTGCCTGCAGCGGCCCCCAGCCCCAGTGGGTGCGAGGACTGAGTGCCAGGGAAGGACGCCTTTCCGCCAGGCCGCCTGTTCTTTGCGGAGGCCCAGGGCGGGAGCACTCACCTGGAAGAGCTTGAAGAGTTCCTCCCCCATGGACTTGCGCACAAGCTCCTCCACCACCGGGAATGTCTGCACGAAGAACTGTGGCGGGAGACAGGCTGGGACCCACCCACTCGCCTCCCGCCCTGCCGCCGCCGCCTCGGCCCAGGCTCACCTCCAGCGTGAGGCTGGCCTGCCGCTGGCTGTTGCTGTGGTCCGTGTTGCCCATGGCGGTCATCAGGCTGTGCACCACACGCAAGTGCAGCATCTCCTCGGCGAGGCCCATGTTTCTGCGCACCAGGACCCTGGGGGGCGATGGTGGGTGGGCTGCGGAGAGCCCGGGCACTCCGCTGCCGGCCCTGCCAGGCACCCCGCTGCCCGCGCCCTCTGCCCTCCGTGGGCTTACCCGATGGCCTTGGCGGCCGCGGCCTGCTGCAGGAACACCGGCAGGTGGGCGGTGACCTGGAGAACCGACGTTTCTGCCGAAGGGAGTGGCGTGTGGCTGGGGGACCCGTCCCCGCCCGGTGCACCCCCACCCACCCCGCTGCGCTGGCGCTGATCCCTACCGTTGAGAATCTTGGGCTGCAGTTTGCTGGTCTCCTTGACCGAAGGTATCAGCAACGCCACCAGGCCTTGGAGCAGCTGCCCGCACACGTCGTAGTTGACCAAATCCTTGATCAGCGCGATGGCTGCAGAGGGAAGGGGTGTGTGTTGGGGGGAAGGGATCGGGGTGCTGGCAAGCCCTGCCACGCCCACACTCCCCATTGCCACCCATGCTGCAAAGAGCCCTCATAACGGAGTAGCTTTGCTCCCAACCCCTTTGATAGCTAGGCAGCATGGCAGGAGGTGGAGAGGCACCCCGTTCCCTCCCCCACACCCTCCTATCAAGGGGGTTAAAGGTGGTTGAAAGTGGAGGCTTCGAGTCCAGGTTTTGGGAAGGTGGGAAGGGAGAGAAGGGTGGGGGGGGGAAGCAAAGCAGAGAGGGAGGCAGAGCAAGTGGGTGGGGGTGGGGGTGGGGGCTATGTGCTAGAAAAAGCAAGAAATGGGTGGAGGCAAGGCAGCGGCAGGGGATGGAAACTGTTGCCCACCACCGTGAGCTCTTCCTCACCCAGCCTGGCTAAGCTGCCCACACGGGAGCACCCCTGTGGCTGCCTCAGCCAGCCGAGGCTCCCCGAGCGAGCACCTGCTAGCGGCTGCCGCCTTTTACGTTTGAGAGAACCAGACACACAGAAGCAAAGCAGTTGGTACCCGCGCGGCCAGCAAGTGGTGGGAAAGATTTGGTGAGGAAGGAGGAGGGTCTAGGATTTACTGAGTGTATTTTCCGTAGACACTTTCCAGGTGGTTGTGTTTTCCGGGACTCAGCCTTTTGGCAACTCAGAATAGAACTTCTATTGTGCCAAGCATACAATCCGGTGAAATGTGGGATGAAAGCCTTTGCTGGGCTGTGGGAGCGCCCGGGAAGATGGAGGACGGCTGAGTTTTTATTTGTAAAAAGAATCACAGAAAGGCAGGGCTGGAAGGGGGAGGGTGAGACGGGCACTGGGGCCGCAGCAGGGCAGCTGTCACTCCACACACACGCACGCACCTGCTCACGGAAGGGGGGGCTGGGGGACCTGCATCCCCCAGCACAGGAGTCAAGGTGGCCCATGGCTCCACTTTGCCCAGGGGAGGCACGAGAGCTCCCTGACTAGCTCCTTTGCCAGGATTGGGCTTGATGGGCTTCGGGATGACTAGGCCGGCTCTAAGATGCTGGCGGGAGCCGGCCTTGGCGATTTCACTGGTCCACCAGGGTCCAGCCAGAACTTTTTTTTTTTTAAGATTTATTTATTTATTTTTAAAGGATTTATTTCTTCATGCATACAAGAACTGGCGTACAGGCCGGAGATGCAGGGGGTGAGAAGATTCACCAGAGACAGAGTGGGGAGCAGAACAGGTGGACTGACTGAAATACACCGCTGAGGGGAGCAGAGGGTGAGACAGGAGAGGTCTGCTGCCCCTGTGGGTCACCCCCTGAAGGAGCTGGAACCGTGGCTGTGGCTAGCTTGATAGCGCTGACTTTAACTCCTGCGCCACCAGGAAGGCCCCAACTGGACCATTTTCATGCTGCACAGGACATTGGAGGGGGTCTCTTCTGAAGCCTGAGCTGTGGCCTGGCCACGGTGCTGCAACGACGGTATTTTATGACCATTCCCTGACCGTAAACAGTAGCCTCTGCTCATGCAGCACCGAGCCCTTGTGAAGACAGAGGTCTGGTTCTGCCCAGTCACTTTATACTAAATGTTTGATCCATCACTGCTCATGTATCTGCAGCATTTGGAGCTCCTTGGAAAAATGGAGATTTACTCACTGAGTCATAACTGATTGAGTTTTGAAATTCAGAGCTGTCCCTGTTTACACCCAAAGCAAAAGTGCTAGTCCTTGCCCATATGTCTCCACCAGAACCACAACAACACATTGTGCTGGTTACTAAGCACAGCTGCTCCTTCAGAAAGCAGGGGGTTGCGAGAGACTGCTATGCTGGGGCTGTGCTCGGAAAGCCTGTGGTGCTGACAATACCCAACTGTCCTACATTAAAGCAGCCACTGATTGATTCATTTGTCTATCTAACAAAATACTTAATGCTTCTTCTGCGCCAGTCCTCTCTGTACCAGGGCTGTGAGGACTAAGATACAATCCTGGCCCACAGGGATGACACAGTCTAATGGCGGGGGGCTGGGGAGAGCGCCAGTAGGACACAGCCTTTATGATGTAGTGTCGTAAGGGCCATAGGTAGGAGTCGAGGGGTGGAGAATAGGGAATCCTGAGGCTGCCGCCTTGGAGAAAGTGATGTGTGAGCTGACAAACCCTGGGAGAAGGGAGGGGCCAGAATGAAGAGAGCAGCTGTGTAGTCGTGGAGAGTACTTGTCACTCGTCGGCTGGGCAGGCAGGGACTGGGATGTAGGGTGTTGGTCTGGCCTGAAAGCGAGTCTTGGAGGCAGGTGATAGGCTTTGCGTGTGTCAACCACCCTGCACAGTGGGTGTTTTCTCAACTTTTGTTTCTAAGAAAACCAAGACTCACATGGGTGAGTAGGGGCCCAAGGCCGAGCAGTGGAAGGTGTCTGTGGGATTCCAAAGCTCATGCTCATGTTCGCTGAGCTCTACTGCCTCCACTCTGGGAAACAGACTCCATCCTGATGAGATGAAAGTTGGCTTAAGAAATGCAAAGATCTGTGCCACCCCTGGTGGTGAGAGGGGTAAAAGCACAGCCTTACGAAGCTATCAGCAGCCATTGCAGCATGAGTTCACTCCCCGGCCAGGGAGCTGACCCACATGGCGCAGCAGACCTCTCCTGTCCCGTCCCCTCAGCAGTGTATTCAGTCAATCTGCCTGTTCTGTTCCCCACTCTGTCTTTGGTAAGCCCTCATCCCCCTCACCTCTGGCCTGTACCCAGAGATCATGTATGCATAAGTAAATAAATATTTAAAAAAAAACAAAAAAAGAAATGCGAAGATCTGAATTAAAGTAATGAGGATGAATGAAAAGGGAACAGATTCAAGGAATCAGAGTCGACTGGTCTTGTTAGAAGTGGGTTGAAGGTGGAAAGCAGGAAGAGAAGATGGTGATCCACATTTCTGGTGCTGGTGATTTATTTATTTATGCGTACTCTAACTGAGGTGTAGGCCAGGAGTGTGGGGGGTGAGAGGATTCACTAGAGACAGAATGTGGAGAACAGGGGGGCTGACTGCAATACACTGCTGAGGGGGAGCAGTGGGCAGATCAGGCGAGGTCTGCTATGTCAGGTGGGTCACCCCGGTGGCCAGGGAGTGAAGCTCAGAGATAACAGATCTGTCAGAGGAAGAAACCCAGAAGAAATAACTTGCCCAGGGACTACCAATGAATGGGAGACAGAGCTGTAGCAGTAGAATTTGCTTAAAATGGGATTGCTCCTGAGAACTGTGGCTATTCCATGCCTGTTTTCAAGGTAGTCCACACTGGTGAAGTTTGGTTTACAATTCTTTGCTCCTGGAGCCTTGGAGAACCAGTGTCCCATTTCTTTCCCTTCGCGTCCGGACAAGACTGCTACCTACTGGCCATGTGTGAGAAGTGCGCCTCTGAGCTTCCACACACTGGCAGCCACCTGCTCCAGCAGATGGCAAGGGGCACTGGTCTAAGGAAGACTAGGGCAGCCTCCGCCCGTCACCTACATTCTGTGCCTGATTCCTGTCCATTTGGCCCCCTCTTTTACCATATCTTGTTCAGAACCAATGCTTAAACATTAAAAATACATTTTATTTATTATTTAGTTTAAAAAATCCAGGCAGCAAATCAACTAATACTGTGGTGTACTGATGACTTAAGGATTATTAAGGCATCCTGCACTGGCACCCGCCCTTCTGGGCAAGTCTCACCCGTGCAGCCTGTGCTCAGACGCTTTGAACTGCTCCTGACTCTGTGTGGACCATTGCTGTACCAGGTGTCCAGGCAGCTGGGCCAGGCCAGGACAGGTGGTTTGAGGTTCAGGCAAACTGGGCAATTAAAAACCAAACTTTTTCCTAAGGGTTTTCTATGGGGAAAAGACCCAACAACTCTGGAAGATTGTGCAATAACATTTATAAATGGTGAATAAAGTGTCACAGTTGAAGCGCTCATGGAATATGAGAGAAAGACAGCGCTTTTAAAAACACTCAGTAGGGCCCTCCCTTGGCGGCACAGGGGTTAAGTCTCAGCACTATGACTCTGTCAGCAGCCACTGCAGCATGTGTTCGATCCCCAGCCAGGGAGCTGACCCACATGGCGTGGCAGACCTCTCCTGTCTCCCTGCTGCTCCCCTCAGCAGTGTGCTTCAGTCATTGTTACGGTTCTGTTCCCCACTCCGTCTCTGGTGAATTTTCTCACACCCCTGTACCTCTGGTCTATACCCCAGTTAGGTATTATAAATAAATAAATAAATCTTTTTAAAAACCCAGCCACTGAACTGTTTTCAAATGGTTAATTTTATACGAATCTCCTCTCAGAAGAAAAAAAGTAAGCCAGATTTGTAATTAGTTTCTAAGTAAGTCATACATCTTAGAGCTAGGGACCCGAATAACTCCACACAGCCAAGAACTTTAGGAAATTACAGAACTGTTCTTGCCAGAATCTCCCCAGGTCTTAGGATGGGAAAAGAGCTGTTACATGTTGAAAGACCTGTCCCTGTCTGTGTCTAGCTGGTGAGGTCATGCTTTCCTGCACTAACATCTCTGGAAGATTCTACCAGATTAGTGCAGTGCAGTTTGCTCAGCTCTTAATCCTGCTGTTGTACTTTGGGCTGATAAGCCACACTCACTTTCAGCTTCACTATCATTTTATTGACATTAGAAAGCCAAGCTGATCCTAAGTTCTAGGTCAATTAGACAAAAATGTTCTTCTCCCAATGATCACTATGTCTCCAAATTCGCAAATATTCCTTTTACCATGACCTTGTTTCTTATATCCACTAGGTGTTAAGTGTTTCAGCATTTTATTAGCTGGGGTGTGATTTAAAATATGTCCACCACAACGGCTTTTGTATGTTTCTTTTCAATTCTCTCGCCCTTGACCGTGGGCTGGATTTAGAGCCTGGCTTCTGATGGATCAAGTAAGACAGAAGGGGCGGAGCCCATGCTGAGATCCGGCTATAAAGGACAGCGTCCTTCCTCCCTGCCCGCCCCAGGGGAAGCCAGCAGCCACG